AACAGGTCCAGCTGCTTGTCTTCCTTTCACAGATGAGGAAACCGAGGTTTGGGGCGAGGAAGTAATTTGTTCGAGTTCGCAAATTCTGGCTCCCAAATGCCTGCCTTTAATCTCCCGAGTGGCAGGGGTGCCAGGAGCGTCTTTTGTTCCAGGGTTTGGCCTTTCGTCCAGTGCCGGGCAGAGCCCCCGAACCCCGGGGTCTCCTGGGTGATGGCAGGAGGGTCTTCTGTTGTAATGAGCTGACTTCCTGGGCGCAGACATCCGGTGTGGGAAGTTTTGTGAGTAGGGAGGGTAAAGGAGACAGGGGTGTTTCCTTCCAGTGGGGCGAGAATATGCCAAGCAGAGGAGCTGGGAGGAGTTAAAAGCACCCCGGAGTGAGCATGGGGCCCACGTAGGACAGGACGGGAGACTCTCCGAGGCTGGGGCCAGGGCTTGGGGGCCAGAGGTCAGAGACGAGGCTGAAGAGGTAAGGGGGGCTGGATGGAGGGCTCCACAGGCTCCGGAGCTCGCGTGTCTACCTCGAGCGATTGACGAGTGGTACTCACGCAAGGGACTGCCGGCATCGGATGGACCTAGGTTTTGGCAAAATCGCGTTGGCGGAGGCATGGAGAATGGGTGGGCGTGAAGGCAGGGGCTGGCACCCCGCGGCCGCGGGGCCTGGTTTTGTACCCACTGTGAGCTAAGAACGGGTTTTGCATTTTTAAGTGTCTGAGAAGCAAATCAAAAGAGTCATATATTGTGACACATGAAGATAATATAAGTTCAGATCTCAGCGAACTTCAAATAAAGCTTTATTGGAACGCGGCCCAGTTCATCCACTCACGTATTGTTTACGGCTGCTTCTGGCGACGGTGGCGGAGCGAAGAGCTGCGGCGGAGACTGTAATGCAGACGTACCTACACAATAGCCTCACACATCGGCTATTTGCCCATCACAGACAAAGTTTGCTAACATCTGAATTAAGGGATTGTTTTAGCATTTCAGGCAGGAGGCCCGCCCGGGGACAGGGACGCGGGATGGAGGGCCCTGGGTGAATCTGGGAACGATTCGGCAGGTGGACAGGCTGACCGGGCACAGGGGGCGAAAGGAGACGGAATCTGAGATGACGCCCAGATTTCTGGGTGAGAGCTGAGTGAATGGGGTGCCCGGAACTCCAAGAGCGAGAGTGGGAGCGGGGGGCGGGAAGGTCAGGGGACGGGAGGGAGGAGGGAGAAGTGCTCCCTGGAGTCACGCGGTTTGTGTGCGTTACCACACCCGCGAAGCACACCGCACACCCGTTAGGGCCTGAGGCTGGTGTGGGCACCTGGCGTGCAAAGGCTCTGGTGCTGTGAATGCGGCGGGTACCTGTCTGAATTTCTGGTTGGCTCAGCCAGGCTCCAAGGAATGAAACAAAAGGGTCCCAAACGCCTGGGGAGGCAGAGGCCTGAAGGATGCGAGAGGTTGGCCCACGGGGAGAGGGAGGGCTGCCCGTGCAGGTTTAGAATAGCGGCCAGGTGAGCTGGGCCTTCGGGGCCTTGGTCCCTGCCCAGGCGTGGGGGCAGGAGCCCAGGCGGCCAGGGCCACCTGCTCTGTCTTTGGTCCTGCAGTCCTGTTGTCTGGGAGGCAGCCCAGCCTGGGGGACTATTCCCTTGATTGCCCGCAGATGGAGCTAAAGTGATGTGCTGTGAATTGGGGGGAGTGAAGGGGGAGGAGGGGG